GTTTCTTTTTCATCCTTAAGACTTGTCCGACGGCAGTTTCTGGCGGCCGTGTATTAATTATAATAAAAAACTTATATGGTAATTCTTTAATTGTTTGTCTTTAAAAATCAATGCTTTTAGTACACACTATTTGAAGATATTCCGATGTGTTTCTATTCTAACGATGATTATAATGCTTTTGTTTCAATTCACCGAACAAATTAATTGGGAAGTAACGCACTGTAACGCACAAAGCATAAAATGAATTAGATTTTATAATTTTCGAGTAATATTTGTGTAGTATGGCAATAATATAGTTTTTTGTTTGTTTTGGTTTTCCCACCGGCGCATGGGCCGAACAGCGAGAATATAAGTCGATGTAACGACCGCGTGCACCCATAAAGCTTTAAATTCGTTTATTTGTCAAGTACTATTAATGAGTGTCTAAGGCAAACCAGCAACGAGTAAACTTTTCTAGTTCATTAGGTAATGAGCGCTTAGAACAGTTTATAGCTAATTGGAAGACAAGCAGACAAACACTTAGCGAACGTGTCTTAGTAGGGTCATGTTAAGTCAAGTAAAAAGTCAATGAAGAGCCGAAACAAGTCCCCCTGCTGGGCAAAGGCCTCCGCTTTACAGAGGGTATTAGGACATAGTCCCATTGCGGATTGGCAGACTTTACATATATTTGAAATAGTTTTTTCTTCTGATGTTTCCGAGGCCGTTGAACACGTGACAATTTCAGCAATTAAATTTTATTATTTCATTGGTGCAGGCACCGGGATTTAAACTTGGTGCTCGAGTACATTCTATTAAAAGCGAGCGGCCGGATAATGAGCTATAAAGCCTTATAAACTTATGAGGTAATGAATAAAACCTACACCAGTAGTGACACGTAGCAGCTTTCGCTCCACGGCCCAAACAAACACGCAAACAAAATACAGCTATATTTATATTATACTAGCTGACACCCGCGGCTTCGTCTGCGTTGCTCATCATATTAGCAACTTAGTTTATTTTATGTGCAGAGGAAACATCAAAACATCAAAAAAATCGGAATTTCCCCACGACATTTCCCACGAAAACACACATCACTTAACATTCTTTGTTCCGCAAAACGTTAATAACTTTATTTTACAACGCAAATTGTTTTTGAAATAAAACTTAGAAGAATTGATTGAAATCTATCCAGTGGTATATCTTTTCCGTGATATGCAATACGGCACCTCTTTATTCTATTAATACCAATAGATTCCAATCAAATTTACAAACAATATATTGCACAAATGTGATGTTGATTGATTTCGTGTGAAACATGAAAATACCAACGCTCTTATAATAAACGCAACCCAATTGACATGCTTATATTGACCGGAAAATATCACAAAATCTCGATGAGACGCGAACAGGCCGCGACGAAAAGCGAAAAAGTTATATCGTTCCGCTGGCGTAAGGATTAAATCTAACGCCCATTAATTATAGCAATGGTTTTATTGTAGAAAACGGTCTTTCGGTTTATTTTTTCATATTTTTCTCAACGATGGCTGTTCCGTCCAACAAATAGACCGAAGCGGCGGCTTCATCGAGCGTTGAGTAAATTAAAGAAAAACTTAACGAGGCTTTCATCGGAGTTGTCGTCCGTTATAAATACTGCATCTGTATTTGTTACTGAACCCTCATTTTATATGTAACTAGCGACCCGCCCCGGCTTCGCTTGGGTGCAATGCTGAATGTTTCTTTTTGGCATCACATTATGCATGAACTATACATATAAACCTTCCTCTTGAATCACACTTTATATTAAAGAAAACCGCATCAAAATCCGTTGCGTAGTTGTAACGATTTAAGCATATGTAGGGACAGGCAGACAGCGGGAGGATTTTGTTTTATACTATGTAGTACATGTAATGTATTAAATGCACACAATTTCGAAAAATCGAGTTGCAAAATATTATTCTAAAAATATTAAATGAAAAATACAACTCTCACGTTTACTGTGGTAGGGCCACGTAACAACTGTAATGCAACGAATGGGCAGACTCGTCCGTGTAAATAGAACGCCTCACACACGACTGGCGTGAAGTGGATGTACTAAATTTTCGCGTTTCCTCTGATGAGCGAGCTAACCTTGGTCCATTTTTAGGATTCCGTACCCAAAGGGTAAAACGGGACTCTCTAAGACTCCGCTCTCTGTCTATCCGTCCGTCACCTGGCTGTATCGCATAAACCGTGATAGTTAGAAATTTTCACAGATGATGTATTTCTGTTGCCGCTATAATAACAAACGCCGCTTCTGCCATTGCACGAACGGCCATACCCTGGTAATGTGCCTCGACCTTACAGAAGACCGGCTTGAAATGGAATCATATTACTTAAGCGTTTCGCTCCTTTAAAAGAAACTCTTTGCTCTTTTAAAAGTTGGCAACGCATTTGCAAACCCGATGATCTTATTGATATCAATGTGTGTGCGGCTTAATATCAAGTGAACGACCTGCTAGTTACTTCTTACACAAAAGACCCTCTGAAATCGTTGTAATTTTAAACGACTCTACAAATCCTCTGAATGTACGGTGTGTTGAACGGGCCATTGCGTTTTCTCAACTACCTCGATGCTTTATTCAATAGTTTTCTTTCCCCTTTTCAGTTATTTAAATTTTAATTGCCCCGTGACCATAGGCCATGTGAAGTATTAGAAACGTCGGGAATCTAAATTTAGAAATGAAAGTGATAAATCCGTGAAAATATTTTCACTTGCTAGTGTTACTTTTTTTTAATTTAATACACACACGCTCTCAGCCGCAAATAACAATATTTCTACCTTTATATTTGAAACAAATATCATCGTATTTATAGTAAAATCGTATAAATAAATAGTATCCGTAAATGGTGTTGTATTTACTGTAGGTCAATATTTAATTTAATGTTCGTCTTCACGACTCCCGACGGTAGAATTTTGCTCGCTTGTTATACATCTTTATTGTATCAGAAATATGTCTCTGTATATAAATAATCTGTCTATGTGATGTATAGCTACATTTCATAATTGCTCAAATGTAATCAATAAGTATACTGAAATGGCCTAGGCATAATTATGAAGCATTATTTGATAATTAACAAATACTCATGATCTGAAATATGCGTATTTATGCACATATAATATGCCTTCTCTCATTACCAAATTTTAACGGAATATTTACAATATTTAGAGGATAAACATACAAATTTATTCGTTCAACAAGTTAATGATTTGTCCGGACGAGATTGTTAAAGTGGTTTCAGAAAATAATACGTCTTTAACATTATTGAAGTGAATACCTTTAAAGTACCTACTTCTTAAAATTCCTCCGCAAACTAACTACGCAACACTAATAAAAAAGAAATATTTTATAGTTTTAATAAAAATTACTTTAATAAAATACTTTTAATAAAAATTATGATAGAATCAATGCTTAAAAAGCCCATGCTTGAAGAGATTAAAACTGAAAACAACCTCTCAATACTTGAAATAATTGATTTACTTATAACTATCCGTTTAAGAATGCAAAAGTGGCAAAATTAACTATTCATGTTTGAAATATTAAAATATTTTATTTATATATTTATATTCTTATTAGTATTTAAAGTGTTTCTGTAAATGTAACAAAAGATTGTTTACTTTTATGCTCACATTGGAAACAAAGACCTAACCTAGAGTACAAAATCGGATTCTTATTGGATGCTTACAAGATAATATACTGATAACAAATACTCTCTCTGTATCCGATCAAAATTCATACAGTCTACAGAGCGAAAACACTAACTTCAAAAATGTCTAACAAAGTAATTATAATCTACTAGCGACCTGCCCCGGCTTCGCACGGGTGCAAAGTATTATACATATAAACCTTCCTCTTGAATTACTCTATCTAGTAAAAATAGCCGCATCAAGATCTCGCGTCGTTTTAAAGATCTAAGCATATATAGGGACAGACAGACAGCGGGACGACTTTGTTGTATACTATGTAGTGATAACATAATAGATTAAATGTACGTCAGTCATTTCTTCGTCGTTGCAAAATTGAATTGAAATGTTATTTATACGATGCCTTAACATAAACAGTTCTTAAGGTTTTGTTGTTTGTCCGTCTCTGTCTGAAAAACTTATATCATTTCTGTCACCAGATCCACGGGGATGATATTCGCACATTAATACATCATACACATTAGTTATGACATATTATATTCATTGACATCAATACATATAAAATATTCTTGTTAATAAATAAAAATGAATGTTGGTAAGCGCATAACTAAGAATGGCCGGACCAATTCGGCTAATTTATTTTTTTGTACGTTCCTTAAGGTCCACGGAAGGTTATGGATACTATAAAAAAAAAAAATACCAAAGTCTGCGCGCACAGCTAGTTTACGATAGAATCATTCTATTGTATATTGGTTGCTTAAAGCATTATATATAGTTTTTGACAAAACGTGACATTGATACTACTAATACAATTATTATCTCAATATTATTATTGAAATTAAAATAAAATAAGTATGACATGCAGCAACGCAACCGGTTTCATAATTTGTCATAAACTAATATTTTTTAGTAAACCAGTCTTAACGGGTTTCATTTGTCATATAATAACATTTACGCTTAACCAAAACGGTACATTGGATATATTTGATTTTAGTTTATAACTTACTTTCCCCTCCAACTATAGGTCTCTTAGTCAATGTAGGATACCTAAAGATTAATAGAACATTTGTAGAATTCAACTATATATTACAACTGTGTACAAGCAGAAAATCGTGGAGGGGGCCTCAACGTCAGTCTTTTGCTCTCAGCGAGAGAACAGTGTTTGTGCATTAACAGAGCTGTCGCTCTAAAAGAATGTTTCTGCATCAACAGAGCTGTCACTCTCGAAAGAATGTTTTTGCATGAACAGACAAATTACAACTGTGCGAGCACATTAAGTCGTGCAGAGGAACTCGTACATCTTTCTATCTGGTAGAGAAATGTGTACAAGTATAATTTACGACCAACCACGGCGGTTTCGGGGCTGACCTTTGGTGCTGGCGCCGTCCTCGTTGGAGTCCTCGCTGGGGGGCCCGTGGGGGGCGCGCACCAGCGGCTGCGGCAGCCGCGGCCGCGCCAGGAACGGCGGCGGCACCCCGAAGAACGGCAAGAAGGGGGGCCACGCGGGCCTCGGGGCCAGCTGCGCCGCCGCCGCGTACAGCTGCAGCGGCAGCGCGCCCTCCAGCACCATACCGCGCCCCTCGCCCGATATCTTGACTACCGGCGCCCCGCCCGACGCATCCTAACCGCACCGATCGTATAAGTGGCCCCCGACTACGAGTCTGTACGGAGCGAGCGAGTCCCACACAGCCCTATCACCCGATGTTTACATCGCACACGCGCCCCAGTCCGCGCGTCCACAGGTGTTCACCACGACGCGTCTGCTCCGTCACTGAGATGGCGAGCTGCCACGAGGCGGGGCGACCCCCTCGCCGCCCCCCCACCGGCCAAATTAATTCTCCGCCCCCTCCGCATTATAGATTTATTTTAACCGTACACAGAGCGTGGCAGGCGGGCGATTGTAAACCTTATGCGCGCCCGTTACAGATGCTTATTGAATAGCGGGCAATAAATTAAGGCCCCGCCATACGCGGAATTAACGACGCCGTTATGACGTTGAGGCGTCGCGGCAAAACGGCCTTTATCGACCACGTTATACAGTCCACAACTGTGTCTAGAGTTGTTCAACATCAGATTTAAGGCCGACATACGTTTGCGAGGGCTGTCATAATCTTTTTTAGCCGCATGGCGCGCTGGATACGACATACACACAGAATGGGCAAAGAGTTACGAGAGGAATTCCGTCGCTAGCATTTGTTTTACAAGTTCCGTATGTTGTGTCTAAATATAAAGTAAACAATTTTACATCAACATTTGGTTTTTCCACATTCAGCCTCGGTTTGGTGAGTTGTTTGATGCGTTATTAAAATTACAATTTTAGCCACCACGAGAAGGCAACTCTCCGAAATATAAATTTGCACCGCCATAAAAATTAACACGTTACTTGTGAGAAAAGTAAATGTACCCAGAAATGGGCAGAAGGCGGATTACCAATTTCACCTATTGCCCGTAATTTGACAGGCAATCTACGGACGAGGCGCGCTTTGCCGGCCGCCACAATAGCCGCCGCGTAAAACTAGATTACGAACGGCCGACCGCTCTAATGATGCGTCCACAATCAATCATACGAAATTAACACGTCCCAGATTAAGTTCACGACATTGATGAATCATAAAGCCGAAAGGCAATCAATACCGCTTGCGTCTTATTCCATTAAACAACTAGAGGGCGAGAAAAAAAAATAGTAATAAACTAATTGACATAAATAATAAAACATGCGGCGACGTAGACGTGGCGTAGGCGACGTGACAGCTCTATCGGGATCTTACGCAGACTGTGGTTTACGCCCCTCCTCCTCGCCTTTGAGGACGCCGCCGCGGCTCGCGATTGGTCGGTCTACGGAGGGCGGCGTCAACAAAGGGCGCTCGGAGAGCTTAGTGTTGCATGAATTTAATTAGTGCGAGGAGCACCTCGGGCGCATTAGGAGCCGCGATGGGTAAGGCAATAAAAGATATAAAGGAATGAGTATAAATTAAAAGTTAAATAGAGAGCCCCGTGCGAGCGGGACGGCGAGTGGCGGCGCGTATCGCCGTCCCGCTCGCCCGCCGGGGCCCCGCGTAATTGTTTGACGATCTTATTAGTATCAGTTAAATGTCGCGCTCTCTTTTTCTCCGGCGTATTTAATTACCATTTAATTAGCGAGCGCTTAATGAGGGTTTTCGGGATCGGTTTTTCTCGGTTTAAGTTTGTTCATGTGATCGCTTATCCAGAACAGGGTAAAACCGTTACTTGTTATTGTTTAATATTAAGGCGTTGGATGCAGTAGAGTTATTAGATCGGTGTTGATAGTTTTAACTATTTAATTTAAAGCAGTTAGGTAGTACTGACTTGAGAAACTACGAAAGAGTAGTAACGGAAGATATATGATTATTTTTAATACTTTTGAGTATGTTTGACTAAAAATACTCGAAAGCATGTAATTTCTATATAAGCCAACTGTATGATATTCGTCATTTCTGTAGAAAATTAAAAAGCTAATGTGAAAAGCTACTTTTAAAACTTGTGACTTGTTAATTTCAATCATTTTATTAATTGACATTATTTTATGCCAATTCAAATAGTTTTTTAGGTAGCGTATTTTATGATCGGGAAGACTGTTTTGCTGGCATACGTAAATATACATTTCTTTCCCTTTTGCAATCTCCCTTTTATCTAATCACTTAAATTTTAAAATATTATGTTCACTCAGGAAGGAATTAATTGAATTTCTATTTAACATAGATTGGTTTTTACTTACCATGTTAATTTACTGTTTGCTGCTTTGCATACACTTTTATTTATGCGCCCATTTTTCTATAGATCGTGTAAAACATGACTTGTGTTTGTTATTTTAATAACTAATAAACTTAAGAATATGTGTATGTGCTACACATACTGGAAGAGATCGCTATGAAGAGATAAGACCGCCAAATTGTCCATTCCATTAATTTGTTTGTCTATTGTTAATTTTGTGTATCCTTTTATGTGTGGTGGACAATAAAGTATTCATTCATTCATTCATACTTATGCCCGGTTCCTGTATCCACAAAATGGATCGTTTTCCTTACAAACCGCTACATTATATACAAACAGTGTGTCAATATGCCGTTTCTGTAACATACAAGATCTAAAGAACGCTAACAAAATGTAACTTACGAACTAGAATGCCATGCCCTCATTTGGTTAATACACGCATGTCCATATGCGTGAATCTACTTATGTAGAGTCTATCAAGCTCGTGGAAAAGTAGCCTTTATCTTTATGCAGACTACGGACTGAAAGTAACTGTGGTAGGGCCACAGGGAGATGTGTGTGAAACGATACGTCACTAGAGTTGAAAATGTAAGTTTATGGTGTTCTTATATTCTACTTCTTGCTCCTACCCTTATCCCACAATAAGTAGGATTGGCACAAAATGTCCTTTTATTCCATTTTCCTCTATCAGTCTTCATCTCAATATCCCTTTCACAGACATATAATCCTTCACACAGTACTCAGTTCTCCTGTGTTCCTATTATTAGCCTTGACAATTTCGCTACCCGCTGATTTCGGTTAGTACCATATTAACGTTACGGGCTGTCAGTTTTTTTGATTTTGTAATGCCTGTACTGGTGTCGTGTCTGTAGGTTAATTTCAGAATACGCTGGTCTATTATGGATAATTATTAACTATTTTTTTTAGAGATAGGTATGTGAAGTCTGCCAATGCACAATGGGACCGTGTTGTGGATTTTGCCCTAATAGCCTCTGCACTAAGGAAGCCTTTGCCCACTATTGGGACATGTATAGGCTGATACTTTACTATTTTGAGGTGAATTGCACGATTATCCATGGTGGTAGAGCCACGCAGCAGCCTCGGCTGTTGCACGAATGGGCAGGCTCGTCCGGGGAAGTACCACGACCTAACAAATTCGTAAAGTGGAAGTATAGAAATATTTCGCGTTTCAATGTGATGAGGTAGCCGGAGCCCAATTTGTGTTGTCACGCATCTGCAAACCCTTTTTGTATCGGTTCAACTATATGACTTAACATCAGGTGAACCGTCAGCTCGTTTGGCAACTGATCACATAAAAAAAAAAAAATTATAACTTCACCCATAGATCTCGCTATTTGAACTGTAAATTCTGAGCCCGAGTATAAAATTTGATTCAATGTGATGATATGTGTGCAGTGCAATTTTTGTATCGGTTAACTATATGACCTGGGAAGTTTAGCAATCATCGAAATTCTTGTGTGTAGGTATTTTAATTATGTTTTATTTACCGTTGTTTGAGCTTAGTTTCGTACTCTTAATTGAGGTTTATTTTGTCATTTCTCATTCAAAAATGGACATTCTCCCTTTAACGACTAATATTAAATTTTTTAAAAATTCTCATGGCCCTACTGAATAAGGAACATGCGTGTAAAATCATTGTCTTATTGGTTTATCCTACTCGAATTTTAATATTCAGACTCAGAAATATATATGTAATGGTATTAACTCAGCCTAAAAATGCTGTTGATAAAACATATTCTGAGCTAGTTCAGTAAATATAAAAGGCTTATGGCCGTGAACGATTCCGTTTTTGAAAACCTCAGCGCTCTCTAAGCATCCATCTCCAATTCAGTTTACACGACCACCTCGGACCTCTCACTCTGGCACATACAGATCTCGCTACCGTCTCCCTCTTGCTCATAAGGCGGTCCATGCACGCGCCCGCCGTTACTCCTCATTACCACGCGGCTTACCTACGCCGCGACGCGTTCGCGTTATGTATTGTCTGTCGGGAATGGGGCGCTTTAGTTGTTTTATTGATGCTTCTTCATATCGTGAATTTTTAAGCATTTTCGCCAAAATCTTTGAGAAATCTTTTCGTAGGATCTTCAATCCTGTCATTGCATTGCAAGTCAAGATTCTTGATATTCATTTCCATAATATTTTATTCCAATGTCTTATGTGATATTGATTTTTTAAGTTGTCTATTGCGAAACGCAGCTTCTACTACAGTGGAAGGTCAGAAGTGTCAACCTAAGTTATGACTTAATTGGATGCTACGAAGAAGTATAACGCTCATCCTTCACTTTTCGACCGACGTAAAAAGGAGGATCTCAATACGATTTTGTTTTTATTTGGTACCTCAGAACTCCATTCGTTCTTCTGCATCGGACTGTTTAACTCCTACGTGGTCCCATATTAATTTCATCTGTCAAAAAAAATTTAAAATATATAGTGAGTGAGATCTTTGAAGTACGGTTTTGTTTTTTGTAAATAAAAATAAAAACTTGTTTAGGCTCGAAGTCGAAAACGCGTGAAATCAGAAAATTCGGCACTTTACACAAATCCAATTTCCTTCCTTCATCGAGCTGGCAGGTCGGAAGTAATGCCGCTGATATTTGTTTTTTTTGTCGACTTTTTTTCATCGATAACACAAGATGGATGGCAGGCACGCGCGCCTCCAATTGATTCAAATATTAAAATAGAAAACGTCGCGATGATTGATGGATGCGCGCGACACGTCACGCCCTTCCTGGGAACGGGTTGGGGTTAAGCGGATTCCGGGACCGTTCCGTTGACCGTTCAACCCGTGTCGAATGGTTTTCTATTTTTTTATGTGCGTATGAATTGCAAAATGTTATGTGTAAAAGTGGTCGTCAGCTGTAAAGGAAACACCCTGGATAACGCCAATCAGTGCCTAAAACGTTGAGATTTTCGTAGGTGTCATGATATGCCGTTTAGCTCAGCGGCTCAGGCGCTTATCCCAGAGATTATCCTAGTAGCGGCGAAAATTATTTCATCCATTCTTCTATAAACTTTAAATTTCATCTTGAGTGTAGAGAATGCACTAGAAAAATTAATATCATTTAAAAATATCTTTATAATTTTAACATTGGCTTTTAAATTTGTAGAAAAAGTACGAAAAGTCTGTGTACTGCTGTGGGAATCGAACCCACGTCTTCGGCATTCGCGGCCTGACGCTTTAGCCACTAAGCTAAACGGCTGATTGCCGCACCGACGAAAATCTTAACGTCTTTTATCTACATTGTTTTTTAGCATTTCAAGCAATGCTCGGCGCATCCTACAAATGTTAATGTTTAATCTTAAGTACAGAGATTAGCAGTATAAAAAAAATAAATTTTTAAGAATAGCTGCTTGCAACGTTGGTGTGGAG